TTTTCCTCCTCCTCCATCGTAAATTGAATGTCCGGGAAGACGGCGTTGAGTTGTTCTTTGAAAGTCAGCACCTGATCCCGTTCGATGACGACGAAGGTGTCATCCACATACCGAGCCCAGAATTTCGGTCTGTGGTGTCGGAAAACCAGCGACTCCAGCCGTTGAAGGACCGCCTCGGCTATGAGTCCCGAAATCGGCGAACCCATTGGCGTTCCCTTCACCTGCTCGTAGATTGTTCCGTCGAATGTAAAGTACGTCTTGAGACAGAACTTCAGGAGCTGGATGATTTGGGCGTGTCCGAGACGATTCTCCGTTTCGTCGTACTTCTCTTGTAGGAGTAGTTCGATTGTCTCGACTGCCAGGTCCTGCGGGATAGAAGTAAAAAGGGACGTGACATCAAAGGAAACCATGATATCGCTTGGCAGGAGACTCACTCCTTTAAGTTTCTCCAAGAATTGCGTTGACGAGCTGACTGTGGTGTTCGAATCGGAGGTCAGAAACTTGAGACGTTGGAACAGCCACTTTGCCAGTCCGTAGGTTGGAGTGCCCTTTAGTGATAGGATAGGCCAGAGAGGAGCGCCCTCTTTGTGCACTTTTGGGAGACCGTAGAATCGGGCTAGGGCCGTTTCTTGTGCTCTCGCCATGCGTCGGTCGATTGGCGATATTGCACCTGAGTTCTCCATTGCCAACAGCGTCGCGTTAATCTCGCGTGTCAGCGTTTTCATGGGGTTGGATTCGCATGGGACATAGGACTGACGATCCTCCAACAAGCTTTTGGCTTTTTGATTGTAGTCTGTCCTGTCCAATACGACCGTTGAACGCCCCTTGTCCGCAGGCACGATAACGAGGTCCTTGTCGGCTCCTAGTTCCTTAAGTGCATCGCGCTCGACCTTGGAAAGCACATCGCGCGGCCTATGAGCCATGAGGAGGGAGGACACTTGGTGTCGAATGAGGTTCTTCGTTTCGTCTGTCGCTCCCGTCTGACTGAGGATGGATTCCACTGCTGCGATCATGTTGGCAGGTTTGGCATCGGCTGTGTTGAATGAGGCCTCATGCCGTAAAACCTGCAATCGTCACACCAGCATCGAGCACGGATGACGAAATCGCGGCAATTAACAACTCGGACTCGGACCGCCAAGCCACCGCCGCATCAATTACGACCCCAGCGGCGATTGTGAAAACTGTTAATTGCAGTGCGCATACGGTCCCACGGCAGCCACGTGCTATAAATACTGCACTCCTGGTGCCACCTTCACCTCTCTCTGCGAATGTCTCTGATGATGGATTCGAGTGAGAATCCGGAACGTCAGGCAAATAAACTTCTTGTCCCAGTGATCGCATCTTCATCTTCAGAAGGCTGAGTATGAGACCTAAAGGAGGTGGGGATATAGCTTTCAAACGTTGGAATGCTAGGGGAGGTAGAACATGGATAGACTTGTTGGTAGTTAAATAATGGAGGAAGGGGAGGAGGAGGAGGGAGGCTAGAAGGAAAGTAGGGGCTAATGGGTGAGGGTAGGCCACTAAAAGAATGAAATGGTGGGAAACCAGGTCTAGATTGGAAGTCAAAGGAGATAGGTTGACGTACCTGAGAGCAATTGGCCTTAAGTGGTGGGAAGCCTGAACTAGGTTGGGGCATAAATGATTAAGGGCAATTCATGTATGAATTATTTACTGGATATATAGTAGGGCTTTGATAAGTAACCGGTACGCAGGACAGAGAATTATTCGAGGATATAATTGGAGCTGCGTGGTTTGTAGACGTCCTGGGCTGAACAGACTTGTTAGATCTAAGAGAAGGCGTCGTACCCCTAAACGGAACTGTACTACCTATCTTTTGGGTCGGAGTCTGATTCAATTTTCGAGTCTCACCGTTCTGACGCCAAGCCACTGGTGACTTAGCTGTAGACCTTACAGCACCCAGTTGGACAATAGAAGTTATCGGTCTAGCTGATGTAGACGGATTTCCATGTGTCTCAGCGGGACTATCCGGAGGACACGAAACGACAAATGGGGCTGCTGCTGCTGCTGCTGTTGCTGCTGCTGCTGCTGCTGCTGCTGCTGCTGCTGCTGCTGCTGCTGCTGCTGCTGCTGCAAGTTTATGGGCAGGCAAATGCGTCAAGTGGCTTGAGTGAGATGGAGATGTAGGAGAAAGAGGAAGGAGGGAGTCAGATGTCGCAGGAGTAGGAGAAGCTGAATCCTTACGGCCACTTGTATTATGACCGAGTTGGGGAGCATTAGACTGAGAAGCAGTAGGTTTACGTGAGAATAGAGACCCGATTCTACGCTCCATAGGAGTAAGATCATGACAAAGGAAAAATTTTGCCTTCTGTAGGTACGCAGTGACACGCTCTCGATGAGTAAATATTGTGTCAACTTCGATTGATGAAAACAATTTGACTAAGATTGGTGGATTTGTACTACGGGAGGACAAGCGGTTGGCATCAGCTATTTTATAGTGGAAACCACATGAATACAGGAAACTGGTCGCAACATCAATTGGCCGAGCAGATCGAGGAACATTTTTTAGCAGGAAGTTGTAAGAACGCTTCTGTCTATCACTAGATTCACTGGCGATCAGGTGAACAAGTGAGTCGAGACGCCTACATTCTTCAGAGGGAATATCGGATATGTTCCCGTCGAATAAATGTCCAAGAATTGTCAGCAAGGAGCCAAACTTTAGCATAAGGTCATTGCAGTGGTCAAGTGCAGACAGATTAAGCTGCCGACCAATTACAACGGGTGACGACTGACTAGTAATATCGTCTGACTTAGATTTAGGTAAAGCTTCTGACTTACGTTTAGTTAGGCCATGTTTACTTACAAGAGCCGAGAGCTTACGTCGACCAGTGACTTTTGGTCTCATCTTGTCTCGAGGCAATTTGTGATTAAGAAAACTTCTGGCAGACAAGTTGACTGAATTTCAGCTAGGGGCTAACGATGTAAAAATAAATTACAACAGTTAGAGGGAAATCGGATGCACAAAATGAGAATTGGGACTGTATAATAGGTGTTGACTTTTTGAATAAGTTTAGATGTTTCCTTGACTTCGGTAAGCGTTCTTTACGGGCCACCACGGTCAGTGTGCCTTTTCTTAGCAGCTTCCCTAAGTCACGGAGGGTACCCGCTGGCGTGGTTAGTGTTGATGTTAAGGACCTAGTCCCTGCACACCTCGACGAAGGTAGCGCCCGAAAGCTCAGCCAGTTAATAAACGAATTTAAATTTAATTCGATTCAATTCAATTATTTTTATTAAAGACCCGTCGGGGTCCCATCAAAGCAAGAAAAATAAATTTACGTGCGAATTTTAGACGAGGTAGGCAAAATCTGTACAAAGTGCAATACATAGTTTTTGAGATTAGAAGTCCGTTAAGCAAAATGAAAAACGATGGGTGAAAAAAACTCCATAGCAAAATTTAAAAATGATTGTATTAATTTAACAGAAGAAAACAACCCTCAAAAAAATAGCATCAGAAAAATGCAGGGAGGATTGGCCTGCATGTGGCGGTATAGAATGGATTATAGTCGGCCATCGTCAGGACCGAAATAAATGTCAGCTGTGTATGGCATTGTATAACGGATTTCATTACTGGACGTAGGCAGCTAATTGGCGGAAATGCAAATGTTTGTCCCACATAGAAACATGTTCCACAATCTCAGCAGCCTTAGTGATCATCTTGAATGTAGTTGAAGTCAGGAAAAGGAAGTGCGAAGTCATCCTCCCCAAATTACAAGAGTAAAGCCTAAGTAGGGGACGAAAACCAGTGTTTTAAATAAAGTCATCTTATTCCTAAATGCCTGATATCTAGTGAATCAGGTAATCAAATAGTCCATTCTCCGTAGAAAACAGGAATTACTTTATCCTGATGTATCGTATATAAAGTCTGCAATATCGAAAATGTCAAAATCGGATAGAGCTGTGTGGAATCTGACAGACGAAATGATAAATAAGAAAGTTCGAACCCTTCTGCAGGGTAACTGGTGGTAACTGATGCGTCCTCCGAAGAAAACAACTTGCTCATTTTGCATCAGCATGGATTTCAAAGGGGTAGATACTGCCTTACTAACCTGATAGTATCCATGGAAAGCTGAACGAAATCGACCAGTCTTCGAGGTCACCAATATGCTTTGAGGATAAAATGTCAAAGTTGAATTGCGGTCCAAATTCTTCTCCCGCCGGCTGGATGGAACAAATTGCCGAACTCCGTTGTCTTGGCGGAAAACGTCGGGACCTTTGAAAAGAGACTAGATAAATTTATGCTTGATGGCCAAACATTTACTTGATATCAATGACTGACATAACTGTTATGAGAATGTGTGCATGCTTTTTATACGTCTATCTGTAAATAGGGTTTTCCAAGGCTTTGCCTCTATCCCTCATGTGTACGGAATTATTCTGAACTCTGCAAGATAACTGATTTTACGTTGCAAGACAATGTGCATGATATTGAAAAGTACTCCAGTCAATGTGACAATGAGTTCTAGGACTTCCCCGCTGTCGGAGTCAGCATTCGAGTTGAGACACCGTGGGGAATGCAACTTTGGTGAAAATGTGCAGGCAGTCTTACATGTACTCCAGTAGTTGTAGATTTTTCACGCGAAATCACGTGGTTGCAAGGTAATGTGAGAGTGCCGCTTTCAGATATGCGTTTAGATCGATTCAGATGGAATATGCCAACACAAAATGAGTGGATTCACTTTTTTTCTTTCGACAGTAACAAGAATAATGTAATCTCACCGGCTAGCAGCCTTACTAGAGCAAATAACTGCAGACAATTGACAGTGGCTTCAATCAAGTAACTGCCTATCAGACCGAAACAAGTTATGCGAAAATAATAGCGGATTGTTGAGTTAGATACATGTCTTTAGCTAAAGGACACCAAAAGATCGAATAATGTTGGATGAAGGCGGTCTTCTCTTGTTGGTAAAGGATCAGTTCTGGAGAATCCATTTATGTTCATCTTATCTGCACTTAGGTCTCTCTAACAAAAGTGAATGAAGTTTTTTAACCAAACTTTAACAGCCCCTTGAAGTGCGCAACTATTAGACTATCTAACTTTCGTCCTACATATTTCCAAGTTTGTTGCACACGGTTTTCCGCATTATATTCACCGGGATGGGCGTTAGTAACGGTGCTACATCGAAAGAAACCATTAATTCGTCCAATGGTATTATCCGACCTCGGATACCTACGCGGGATCAAGAGGCAGAATAGTGTAAGGAATTGTAGTTTCTTTACGGGAACTTCAGTTTTGATCACATCCACTTCGTTGAATTATATTTAGGAAAGCCTATTATGGAAACGAACTACAGCGTTGTACATTTGGTTTATGGCTAGTTGATAGATCGTGGAATCGTGATAGAACAGGGTATATCGGTTTAATTTAAATTCAGTCATACATCGTAATCACAGTTTAGCACATGAACTTTCTAAGTGTTTCATTCGACCGGTCTGCTACTACTTTACTTACCAGTCGTGCTCACAGTGATATGTTCTTTTGGTCCTCCCATCGCCTTCCTGCTAGTTATCATAGGGATCTTTGGGCATTCGACACTGACAAGTTTATTTTTTAAACTCCGAAGATCTGATGCAGGAAATACGTTAGGTTACTCAAGTTAGCATATATTCAGACGCGTTTCTGGCATCGGGTAGGTTTTTACTGGGCGAATCTCGGGCGGCTGAGATGATTTAGTGTGTTAGTGTTGGTTCCCACTTTTTGCTTGTTGTGAATATGATGGTTGAAAAGTTCTCATGCCTCCTGCGTTTCTTTCCCTTTCAAACACTGAAAGTTGAACGTTACCTGCACATTTCGAGTGTCCTTTCAAAGAACAGCAAATCAGGTGTTGTGCGCCGTACTAGGAATATGTCACAGCCACTAACATATGAGGAAGCGAAAAAGCCACATCAGATCGGTGTCCTAAAGTCGTGGAATTCGTGGAACTCAGTTAATCTTCATGACGAGACTGAGTACACAGGCGTCGTCACCTGGCACGATGCCCTTATCCGGCTGTTTATCCTCGGAACTTTCCCGACACATGTGTTGAGCGAAGTAAGTCAACAGGTGTTTTCTTAATGTAGCTGTACGCCAGGCGCATTTCGTTTTCGGTGTCACTTTCGGAGTAGAACAACTTATATATTTTCTTTGTTCTTTAAACACTTTTTTCGTATATAGTGGCCGACAGTTGCTTATGCAATTCAGTTCTTTGTTAGATCGTGCTGTCATGTCCAAACCTTTCTGGCTTGTATATTTCTTCAGATGAACATTAATTTCATCGAGTTGGGTTATTGTTGCGCCAGTGACAGTCTTGTGGAATTAGCTCCTGAGATCAGCAGAAGTGCTACTTGTACTCACAGAATGCCTCTTGTTTCATCTGGGCGTTGCCTTTTGTCCCAAGATATGTAGACCTCAGACGCAAGATAGTGTCTCAGAGTTTTTTGGACTCACTGCGTCTTTCTATCGATTCACCGCTACTTTAAGGCCAAGTGCGGTTTGTTTATGTTTGCCTATTTTCAATCTTCGGCCGTAATCAGCCCACCTACCCCCATTATCGTCGATGTGGCTAATCCTATCGCCGAAATTTGTCTCACCGTACACGTCCTTTTATATTTGTCACTTTGCTCGCATTTTCTTCATTATCTAAGCTCATGCGCGAACTGGATAAATTCCAATGCGGGATTAACCGTATTGGCGCGTTCTCATTTTGCCACCGTGGGTTTTGTGGACATCCATCGGCGTAGTTGGTAAGGCATGGATTAAGATACATCGCCCCTCTTCGTCCGATTTACGCCGTTTATATTCCCCCGTATAGTGTTTAATGTGCTGTTTCTTTAAATTAACTAATGGTGGTCATACGGTACTACTCGTTCGACGCATAGACCACACTATCACTACTCGGTGCGGTGGTTGCTCGCTTTTTTTCGCCTGTGGCTTGATATTTCAAAAAACTGCCTGGCTGCCAGGTGTTCTTGGACAGTATTCATGGGAGGAAGTAAAGGAAATACGGAGATAAATAAACGTATATTGTGTAACATAAATATGCTTAGACTATGTATTCCAGAGATTCGTGTTTATTGAACATTGCGTGCACGCAAACAGCACCATTCTTGAATAATTTTAGTGTATAAAAGCTGCTCAGAAATCGTTTTTTTCTCCCCAAATTTGGGTCGCGAACCAGAGGTTAGTGATTAGTGACCAGAGTAAGATCGTAGCTCCTGGACGGGGTAGTAGAGGATTGGACTATCGGTCTTTACTTGATGCAGTTGGAATCATGTCTGATCAAGCTGGCCTTGATGATATCGCGAATTTTACCTCTCCACGCGTGAAAATCTACGACAGCGGATCTGGAGAGGTCTATTCATTCGATTGTCTGGAAGTCTGCCGTGCAAAGCGTCATGTTTAAGTCAGTGGCCTCCCGCGGAACATCTATTCTAAGTCAAATTTTCTCAAACTTCGTGGAGGCCCGAGATAATGGGTGACATTGTAGTCCAGGTTGCGCCGCTTTCCGTAGTGCCCCAGTGCACATCGAATAAGTCCGCTGCGGTTCTTAGGATTTTGACTGCAGCACAGAATTCCGGCGTTCCACCGTGTGCTGCTTGAAGCAATCCTCAATGTAGAGCTTTGCACACATAGAAGCGCCTTTCTGAAGTCTCATAGGTATTGAACTTATTAATGTGTAAGAGTAAATGGTAAAGGCGGTGGACATAATTCTCAGGGGTTGACTGGCTGTCTACACCGCAACCAGTCAAGGTAGAGTGATGAGTCAGTCTTATAATCTCCAGAAGTAGCGTAACTGGCCAGACTTACTTGCCTCAATCATTCTTTTCGCCGCACCTATTAGCCGGTAAATTTAAAGTAGCGCGCTTGTTGATTTGTTTTCCCGTTTTAGCAAAGAGTCATGTTTTTACTTTTTAGAACTTTATCGGATATCGGAGAACTTGCTGGTATTTGCAATTTTGATGTCCGACGCACATTGCGAATTACGCGTATCTTTTGCCAGAATTCAACGAATCGACAATACTTCTGTAGCTTACTACGTGTCGCAGCCTTTTATATCCCGGAGGCACAGAAACCTTGGCAATATGGGCCTGCTCGTCAGCCTATTTATCTGTCACTCCTCGCGTATACAGTTGACGAATAGGAAAAAAGCCATCAGTAAAGGTTTTCTGTAAAACAGGCGAACCACGATCCTGCATAATAGGTAGTCGCGGACAATGCACCAACATTACTTCCAGACTTAGCTTAGCAACGATGTGGCAACTTTGTTACGGGTAAAAAGATTCATTAGGCGTGGGCTGTGAATCTTAGGCTGTTTTCATTACTACAAATTCATTCTACATTCCACTTCGCATCGTACATTCTTGGATTTTCTCGGTCTTGTTGGTCAAATAAGTGTATTTCATCCTCCCCAATCTCTATTAGAGCTTTGTAACGACATTTGAAGAATGTTGTTTTGTTCCTGGCTATGTTATTGTTTATGGAAGTCTTGTGGATTAGTTTTTTTTGATGCTAGTCGCCGCATCTCATCATTCTTGTCATTTGTGTTTGACGTAGTCCGGTATTTCTGTGACCACCCTCATTAATGCTATCCTACTCCCATGTCATCTTATCTGGATTTACGATCCCATTCTCGAGTCTGCTAGGCTACTTTTGGACCAGTATTCGACATCACATACAGTTCGACCGTTCCACACCTGAGGCCGGTGTCAAGTCATTGTCAAGAAGTCCGGAGGCGTGAGAGGGCGCAGATGGCTGACACGGCCTCACTCACACCTAGGCGCACCACTACATCCCCTGGTCCAAAAAACGCTTGACTGGGATTTTAACCAATAACAACAATGGGGCTGCAGGGGTCTCAATTGGCGCGACGGGAGCTGACAATTGGGCCTGCCACTGCACCAGGAATGTTGGCATTTAATATGGGTGTGCATCAGATATCTGCCATTGTGTCTGAGGATGGGTGCGCATTTCCAATAACGCCTACCAGAATCCAACGTGGCTCCCGTGTTGCTCCAGCGCATCTGCCGCGTGGACCGTTTTGAGGGCACCAAATACAGCCTTTATCAATGACACATCGCGACGGCTTCGTCCCCTGACGAGTTTTTAATTCAGCAGCTGCCACTGACGTGGGTGAGGGGACATCCGCTTAGTCGCGAGGGCAAAAGGCAGTGCTGAAAATGAACATACTGCGTTCTGGGGAGGTCCCCAAAAGCAGAGGATTACTACTGTTGCAGCGTACTTTGCCTTGACGACCCCTCACCCCCTCCTAGATAACACGGCCTGTGCGATCTTTCGCACTATCGTCGTGCAAACTTGCAAACTTATCAGTATGTCCATCTGTGACGAGTACGGGAGGGAGTCCAGGTCCACGTAGGACTTACCCTTCGCGACGTCAGGGCCTGACATTTTCTTTGCGCACTATTGCGAATTTCATCACGTTATGTGGAAATCACATTTTAATAATAAGGTTGTTGGCGTACTGCGCTAGAGAAGGCTGGTTTCCGATGATGTCGTTTTTAGTGGCGAGGACGGCTCTGTTTTCTTGTTCTGCCGAGGGCGGACGCTCAGAAGAAAGTGTATCCTGATCGTACTTAACTGTCCTTGTTTAGCGAAGAGTCTCGTTTAGGATAGTAGTGTCCACCCTGAACTGAGCCATTTCTGGGCCGACTGAAGCTGTCCCCGTTTTCGTTTGGTTAGCATAAGAAGAACGGATGTTCCAGGTTGCCATAATGAGTGAAATCAATGTGGCGGGAGGGGTGTTTGGTGAAGAAGGGTATTATCTCTGGTTCTCGCGGCTTGACCTCGCACGTCAATTTTACGAGCAACAGTCAGCTATGGATGGAAGGCAAACCAGTATTTGGCAATATCACCTGTTCCAGCCTATTTCTACGTGATGTTGTAAGCAGTATCTTCTTGATTAGGACTGCTAAGACATGACAAACGACTGTCGGACCGCATTATCGCTCACCACCGGTGTAGCTGAAAATGTCCCAAATTTCGTTTCAGCGCGTTTGATGTCTAAAATAACAGTGGTGGAGATTCATTGCAATTATTGACGAATAGTCGCGCAGTCGCAGCACCGTTTACACCCAAGTTTTGTTGGGAAGACAACTTCGAGACGACTGTGGCTGACTTTGTCTAGACCTCGTCTAGGTGTTGAACACAGCTACTCTGGTGGATATGCAGGGAGGTTTGGATCATTTCCTCCATATGGGCCAGTTTTGGACTAAGTATAGGCATACAGATAGCGGTCGTCATGCGTTAACCCATGCCGACTGCCGAATATGCTGAACACACCCGAACTGTTAATGGTACTATCCTTGCAACAGCAGACAAATTCACTTGCCTGGTGTGCGTCATCTCACAGATTGCCAGAATAGACGGGGTTTCGTTAAGCAAAATGCAGACACCACTGTCGGTTCGACTGCCGCGAACGACGATGTTTACCATGTGCCCAGCAGCATGGTAGGCGCAGGACGGTAACTTGCATGTAGATTAGTTTATAGTGATAGTAAACTTGCCAGCATCTACCGAACTCTCCTCCTCGTCTACCTGTATCCGGTGGTAAGAACCACCGGTCGCTGACTCGGACGCGGTATCTGACAAAGTAAAACATTCCATCTTCGCGTGTCACACGAGACCTGTCCGGGTACAATGGACCGATTTTTCACTGAAACAAGGAGTCAACTGGGATTCCATTTGAGCGGGAGTGCCATAGAGGCCACACTAGGAAGGGCCTATTATAACATAACTCTCCGTCCTGAGGACAACGAGTTATCCCGTTTGTCGTCTACCTTCAAAGTGACGACATCTAGCAAATTGCGCGTCAGATATTTATAGTGAGCCCATCAAAACCAAGACAGAATGATCCATCACGTCAACGGTTGGGCGACAGCTGCGTTAACATCAGTCATTGTTCGCATAACTCAGCCAACAGTCTCTGAGCACAGCCGGTGCGATTTCTACCACGGCTACCCTAGAAAGCCACCAGTAACTGTGATTGTGCACCGCCCTCTTTTGACGAAGATTGGAAGTGCCGCTTAATAGTCTACAACCTCTGTTCCTCCTCCGGGATGGCAAGAGAGTGCGCAGAGGAATTTCCTTCTTCTGTACTACCGATGAACCAATGTAAAATAATTAAAAAACAACACGTACGCAACGCTTTCTGTCCTCTTTTTTAAAGTACCGTTGTTCCCCGGCAGGGTTCATCATGCGTATTGGCCAGTATTGGACTACAGTCAATGCTGTTCTGCCCTAAGTACTGCTGACTGGATTTTCGATTACTTGCTTCTTCGGAGGATCCTCATACTTGCATTCTCTGGTCACGCCAGGAAGATGGGGCTCCATCGTCGGTCACCGAGACCGTTTACGGCATATGTGGTTAAAGGTCTTCCTCTCAAATTTCGTCTACGCTCCGTTGGCTCGAAGAGTTCATCTGCGGTGTAATACCTTCAAACTCTTGTTCATATTGATTTCATCGCCAATGGTGACCATCTAAGAAGTACACGGATATGGCTAAGTCAGCCCGAATGTCCAGGGATAAAAGACCAACTTGACAGCGATTGTAGAACATGGACTGCACTAATCCATGACGCCATGGATTCTAGATCGAAAGCAGTGTTCGTGCTAGGCGAAGCAAGTACGAGTAATTCCAGTGCACAACCACACTTAGATCCTTTTTGTTTGCGCTAGTACAGTTTTATTTTTTGGCGCTTTCATCACGCTGGTCGTGTTGTTGGCATGACGAAAGACAGCCCAAATTTCTTGATTTCTCCTTGTGGAAGTGAAATTTGAAGTGTAAAGGATGATTACACTAAACGCTGTTATGAACACTGGACTTGTCAATTTTTCTCGACCCATCTTGCTCCCGGCGCGCCTGAATTTAAGTCTGGCTTACTAGTACATAAAGAGAGCCTTCAACCAATATACGCCTGCGGCGAAACTTGATATTCATATCATTATACTTGCTCCCGTATAACGGTGCTAGTTCATAGACCAAAGTCCACCCGTGATCTCCTTCAACTCCCTTCCTTTGCTTACTGCGAAGTGGATGGTGTTCGAGGACCATACCTGTAACTCTGCCTACGTTATGATATGGAGTGGCGGATCCGTTTGTGGAGTGAAACCAACAGAAGTACGGTCTGGACGTTTGCTGGCTGAACAGAGACTCTGGTCTCTAGGATTGAGAGCCACGCTGCAACGGCTCTTTTGTGTGGCTGTTATTACAGTTGTTCTAGGTATGACTATCCGTTCGCGGAGTCTTCTTGGTCTAGGGAGGTAACAGGCTTTGAAAAGTTAAGCGAGACACAGTTGAACCCATGTTACCTATACAGTCGTTGATTTTTTGTTACTCTTAATCTCTTGGATAAGTTATTTAAACAACCCCCCTGGTGCAAGTCCCCCTCATCGTCCGAACTTTCCATCGCCGCGATCGTGTTCTTTCTCTTTTTTCTTTGCCTCCTCTCCAGGGTATTACCAACCAGGTATAACAAGCCATAGTTCTGGTGCTAGTTAACAAAACCGGGTTCAGTCCTGGCTTTGTCTTCGTGAGCAAGTTAACCGAAATCCAATCTAATTTTGTCATTTAGGTCATAATCAAGCGGCAAGCAAACATGGTACACATAAGCTTCCTGTTGTCGAACAGACTCAGCCCGACGGAAATCTACTTCCTGATTGGCTACGGAGAACAAATGCTTTCCATGCTTCTTCGCAGTCCCGTGAAAATTGAACCGAGAATGGTTCTTGATCCAAAGGACGTCATCTTCCGATATGTCTGACTCATTTTCGTCCTATGTAAATATGTTACAAATAATCTGAAATACTTTTTGCATTCATTTATTTCCTGCCTCTCGAGAGCCGTACGAGTTTTTAAGACACGGACCAGCTTATTTCGTTTGTTATGCGTCAGCAAGTTTACAAATCGGCACTACAAATGATCATGTTATCCTGTACGCACGATCCTTGTGAATTCTTGGGCCCGGTCAGCCACCTGGCCTCCATTCATGTGGCACGTATTTTTTCGATAAACCATCCAAAATTCATTTTCTGAATACTGCCTACGTTCTTCTAGACGCCGCTCCGCCTTGCCAAGAGCGCGTTTGGCCTACATAGCCTAGGAGGCCTTGGAACGCATCCACAGGAATATCGATCTTTAACTAGCAAGTAATCTAAGTCGCCTTCAACCATCCCACAGCGTAAACGCAGAAGTCGGGCGCTTCGGGGCCGTGCGATCCAGCGGCAGTAATCAATTCCGTACGGAACAGGCATGATTTTCACGAAATGGGCCGACCTTGGCGGGTTTAATGCTTGGTAACAAACCCGTCCTCAACTGATCATGGAGTGGCCACAAGGGCCAACAAGCGGACTTGCATAGTGTAAAAACGTCTATCTAAAGTCTGCTTTATGTGCGCCCCTACACGGATTCAGATACTGCGCCCACGCCAACCCCTAGTCGTATTTCAGCACACTTTGGGATATGGCAGGTAGGCCAAGAATAAGCTGGGTCGATTCTGCGCGCTCCGACCTTACTGCAAGCAAGTTCGCGCACAATTCGCTGTCACACAGGGAATCGGTTGAAGTCTTCTGCTATCGCGGAAGAACTACTCCGATGCGTGCGACCGAGACGGCTGCCCCTAATTTTCATCCGCCTTTGAAGGTATAATTGGCTGGAATGCGCATAGAACAATTCATAGGACTTTTCAGGAAGGCGACTAAGGAACAAAATGTGGCCACTGGTCTCGAGGAGGGAAGCGAGTTTCAAAATGTACAGATTAATGTTAACACGTATGTACAAACTGGGTTTGCCTTGCCCAACAGGACCGTCATACAAGAAGGGGAGCATATACCTGTATGCGAGGAGGGCGCGGAGAAGCTGCATACGAAAATAGGCCTGCGCATGAAGGGGGGGAGTACAAGGCCAAGCATTTTGCACGTAAGCTGTGAAGTTAGTGGAGATCGCGCCAGAACCCTTGTCCTATATCAATCCACGACGTCTCTTATACTCCTGTAGATTTAAGAAGCGTCGATTTGGTTCGCCACTGCCATTCAGATTGGCTGCAGCTGACGCCGAACGCTGCATAGCCATACTAGGTTTTTGCACGCAACCGCCACCCCCAGAGAGGTCGTTATCCGTCACGTTTACGTCCTCATGTGCAGGCTTGATGTTCACATGGATGTCTATTTCAAAGTCGTGAATGGCATGCAGGGACTCCTCAGGCGGTGCGCCCGTGTTCCATGCACAGGGCGAATTTTGACTTAGATCCGAATTCGGTGCCTCCGACTTCTCTGCAGTCTTCTGCTCCTCACCGTCCTTTTTTTCTCCGTCCGCATTGGCCTTCGCGTTCTACAGAAGGACAAAACGGCAAAAATACCGCGTGGGCAAAGACGCAGAGAAACGACCTAAGGGCCGCCGAAAGCGCACGACGGCAACTAAAGTGGCGTACACTTGAAGGGGTAAAAATATGTTGGTTGATAACGGGTGAAACCGGTAGTCTTGCTCTGAACTACGAGCCAGCAGCTGATGAATCAGTCGTAAAGTCTTAGTCAGCCAGTAACCATGGATAGCCTGCGTACCTTGCGTAAAAACCTGACCTCGAACAGACCACCGTTTTTCCAGTGATGTAAACTACGAAATTAGTTGATTCGCTTCAGGTAGATTGGCACATGGGAGATTTATTTCGAGGTTTCTACAACTCACCCTCTTGTTGCGGAGTTTCTCCAGATAACTCTTCGTTACGATCACCGGCTTCGATTGGATGCGCGTGAACGGGTCCTCCTCGCGAGAGAGAGCCGCCTCTTGAGACTCCTTCATGATGGCTTCCTCCGCTTGCTTTACACTCAACTCCCGATTACGTTGGTTAATTGAAGTGATTGATTTGAAGCCGATGGTTCTCTTCCGTTCAATCTTTTCCGCCTGCGTTTCCAGCTCGTCGAGTTCGAGATTGAGACGGCGTACAGCTTCTGTATCGCCTTCCTCGTCGGCAACCTCGCGTTGCTTTAGCAGTTCTGCTTTGCGCAGAGCAAAGTTTGTCGGGGCTTTTTGAAATCGCCTTTTTGATTGGATTATCTGGCATGTGACATAAAAATGCGAATTTGGGAGAAATGAAAATCGCGGACATGCGACGATCGAAGTCTATCGATATGCTCATGATAATGTCAAGGAAGCGACATCATTGCTTGCCACAGAAGTACAAAACAGTAAAAGTGAGGGCGGTGGAATTCGGCCGTTATGTCGGGCCTAAATGAGAACAACTAACAAAACTTCCCTGACTACGCAAAAACGAGGGAAAGTGATGATTACACAGACGTTCGGGATCTATCAAATTAAGTGACCCCGAAGGAGGGCTTGACAAAGCAATATTAACCACTATATGATACAATTAATAGAGTTCAATTCCGGTTTGGTGCTACCGTAACTGATGGTCTGCGAAAGGCCAGAGTCAAAGTTTGAAAAGGCGTTTATGTCACACGCAAAGACGTTTACAATAAATTCATCACAGGTGTCCCCGCAACGAACGGATGCTTTATAAACAGTCTGAACACTTATAAATGGAAAGGGTACCTGAAAGCTATTCTAGACGTATTTGGGATCGTCAAGCATTCAAACGCAAACTACCCGATTATTTTTTGCTTCGTGCCATGTGCCCGTATACATGGGCGCTGCGTTTTCATCCTTATTTGTCTCTAAAATCAGGGTAGATTGGTAGAAGCCAGACGCATGTAGACAGACAATCAAAGATGCTTTTGTCGGATTTACTCCTCAAACGACAAAAAACAGGCACGGATTCCCTAATGGATGAGTTTGAGCTTGAGTTACAAGTCCAAGATTTATGGGGACGATAGAATTTATGTGGTAGAGGACAGAGAGGCACGATTGGGCCCTATAAAGGTGGGCAGACTCAGAAATAGTCGTATCGTCATGTGAACTGGTCTTTGGACGTATAACTTTGGCGTGGCAGAAAATCAACTGGAAATATTTCCAATATGTAGGCCTCAGGGAACTTGCCTGTTCAAAAACACGTTCATCGCTGATGATGGTGTTAATGGCTTTCTGAATTTCAGCATGCTTCTTGGCCACATACGCGAGAGTAGGGGGACGAAGACCAGCCTCATTTGTGTGTCGGAGCCAGCTCTCAAATTCGGCCGGTAAAAATTCGGAATTAGAGACAAAAGCGAGCCGGAAGGTGTGCTGGTCCTTGCCAACCCGAAGAACGATTCCCTTGTTAGTCCTTAAAAGAGAAAGCGAGGGGGATTCGAAGAGGCCCTAGAGAAGTATCGCAAGCTGACACTTCCAGACACCGTAGAAGCTCAGACTCAATTAAGTTCATCCAAAAGGGGGCACAAAATTCAGAAGCAGTTGACGGTCTCACTGGTAAAAAACTGGGAGCAACAGTACGTCTTGGTTTCCATAAGCGGGAAGTCGTTCGAAAAATTCTTAAGCTAGTAATTAAAGCGGACAGTAAAGAGAAAGGAACTGCTGTTTGTGACGTAGAAAAGTCCCGTAACACTAAAAAATACTCAAAGCAGTTATTGATGGAGGAATTTGCAGCGATATGACAAATTCTCAGAAAATCAGCAACTCTGTTTATGTGGTGCCTAGGTCAGTTTTCAACTTAAAGGTGCGCACAAGTTGCTGTAAAGTATCGGCAGGGAGAGTAAAACGTTATGATATTACCAGTTTGTCGCATCAATTGGAGCTTTAGTCATTAGACACAATAAAGCTGCCACCAAACGGGCGTCTTATGACTATCGTGTAGGTTCTGAATAGTCGCAGGGTGAGCCACGTAGAGTGCTCTTTAGGTAATCGACGCAAATAATATACCGTGGTTCCTAAGATAGCTCTAATTTACCAAATCTTTACTTCTGGCTCAGATTCGATGGTGGGAACAGCATCGCCCGAAAATATTGGCGTGCCTGAAGAACCAGGATTGGCGTTACACGAGGATGGACAAACAGGTTCAACGCAAATGGAGAGGACAGGAGTTGCCACATGAGGAATAACTGGAAACCTGACTGATCACGTCTAACATGTTGGTTAAATGAATTAGGACTCGAAGTACCACGCCGGAGATGTGGTATCTTGAGTGGACAGTTCGGAGTAAAACGCGCACCTTAAAGCCATTAAGACGTGCGCCAGCATAACGCAACAAAGACCGATATCACAGAGGATGTATACATTTTATGTGCTACAGTGGTAGATTGCAGGCATGTTTCACGCATAAAAAGCCTGATGCACTGTTTTTGCTGCTTCGGTTATTTCTGTAACTATGTACAAGATTTTCCCACATCCCCAACGATCCATCATCGTTGGTTTACTTATAGGACTGTTAGTCATTGCCATTCGTCCATCCTCCAATGAAAGCTACGTTGATAGATCATGCTTGCCCCGATGTCCTCTTGAACTGATGTCGGACAATCATCAGCTTTTCGGCATACGAGGACATCCAGAAATGGGAGTTGCCCATCAACCTCTGTTTCGAAAGTGAACTTGATTCCTGAAAATGTGGAGTTAAGATTCCTGTGAAGCTGGTCTAATTGCTTTCTCTTGACAATGACAAATGTGTCATCAACATAGCGCAGCCATACTTTTGGGTTAATTTTAGGAAGTGCTATAGACTCCAGTTTCTGCATTATGGCTTCTGCTAGAAAGCCAGATATAGGCGAACATATAGTAACACCGTTCAGTTGGCGATAACATTGTTTGGCGAAAGGAAAGTTGGTTTCTAGATGGAATGGAGGGTCGGCAGATACATCAGTAGTCTAAGCCTGAACGAATCAA